CCCTACAGCACCTTATAGAATTAACACCAAAAAATGATGTCCTTATCATCATGGGGGATTGGAATGCTAAGGTAGGAAGCCAAAAGATAACCGGAATAACAGGCAAGTTTGGCCTTGGAGTACAAAATGAAGCAGGGCACAGGCTAATAGAATTTTGTCAAGAGAATACGATGGTCATAACAAACACTCTTTTCCAACAACCCAAGAGACGGCTCTACACATGGACATCACCAGACGGTCAACATAGAAATCAGATTGACTATGTGCTCTGCAGCCAAAGATGGAGAAGCTCTATACAGTCAGTAAAAACAAGACCAGGAGCTGACTGTGGCTCAGATCATGAGCTTCTCGTTGCAAAATTTAGGCTTAAATTGAAAAAAGTAGGGAAAAGCACTAGGCCACTCAGGTATGAACTAAATCATATTCCTGATGAATATACAGTAGAGGTGACAAATAGATTTAAGGAACTGGATCTGATAGACAGAGTGCCTGAAGAACTATGGATGGAAGTTCGCAACATTGTACAAGAGGTAGCAACTAAAACCATCCCAAAGAAAAAGAAATGCAAGAAAGCAAAATGGCTGTCTGAGGAAGCTTTGCAAATAGCTGAGGAAAGAAGGGAAGCGAAAGGCAAAGGAGAAAGAGAAAGATACACCCAATTGAATGCAGAATTCCAGAGAGTAGCTAGAAGAGATAAGAATGCCTTCTTAAATGAACAGTGCAAAGAAATAGAAGAAAACAACAGAATAGGGAGGACCAGAGATCTCTTCAAGAAAATTGGAGATATGAAGGGAACGTTTCATGCAAAGATGGGCATGATAAAGGACCAAAATGGCAGAGACCTAACAGAGGCAGAAGAGATTAAGAAGAGATGGCAAAACTACACAGAAGAACTATACAAGAATGAGCTTAACATCCCAGATAACCACAATGAGATGGTCACTGACCTCGAACCAGACATCCTAGAATGTGAAGTGAAATGGGCCTTAGAAAATCTGAGCAACAACAAAGCTAGTGGAGGTGACAGTATTCCAGCTGAGCTATTCAAAATCTTAAAAGACGATGCAGTAAAAGTGCTACACTCAATTTGCCAGCAAATTTGGAAAACTCAACAGTGGCCACAGGATTGGAAAAGGTCAGTTTACATTCCAATTCCAAAGAAAGGCAATGCCAAAGAATGTTCAAACTATCGCACCATTGCACTCATTTCACATGCTAGTAAAGTTATGCTTAAAATCCTACAAGCTAGACTCCAGCAGTATGTGGATCGAGAACTACCAGAAGTACAGGCAGGATTTCGAAGAGGCAGAGGAACTAGAGATCAAATTGCCAACATACGCTGGATCATGGAGAAAGCTAGGGAGTTCCAGAAAAACATCTACTTCTGCTTCATTGACTATGCAAAAGCCTTTGATTGTGTGGATCACAACAAATTGTGGCAAGTTCTTAAAGAGATGGGAGTACCAGACCATCTCATCTGTCTCTTGAGAAACCTATATGCGGGTCAAGAAGCAACAGTGAGAACCGAACACGGAACCACTGATTGGTTCAAAATTGGAAAAGGAGTCCGGCAAGGCTGTATACTGTCGCCCTGCCTATTTAACTTATATGCAGAGCACATCATGAGAAAGGCAGGGCTAGATGAATCAAAAGTTGGAATTAAGATTGCCGGGAGAAATATCAACAACCTAAGATATGCAGATGATACCACTCTAATGGCAGAAAGTGAAGAGGAACTAAAGAGCCTCTTGATGCGGGTGAAGAAGGAGAGTGCAAAAGTTGGCTTGAAACTCAACATTAAGAAAACCAAAATCATGGCATCCGGCCCTCTCAATTCCTGGCAAATAGATGGGGAAGAAATGGAGGTAGTGACAGATTTTATTTTTCTGGGCTCCAAGATCACCTCAGATGGGGACTGCAGCCAAGAAATTAAAAGACGCTTGCTCCTGGGGAGGAAAGCTATGGCAAATCTAGACAGCATACTAAAAAGCAGAGACATCACCCTGCCAACAAAAGTGCGTATAGTCCAGGCCATGGTTTTCCCAGTTGCAATGTATGGCTGTGAAAGTTGGACCATAAGAAAGGCTGAGCGCCAAAGAATTGAGGCCTTTGAACTATGGTGCTGGAGAAGACTCCTGCGAGTCCCTTGGACTGCAAGGCGTTCAAACCAGTCAGTCCTAGAAGAGATCAACCCCGACTGCTCTTTAGAAGGCCAGATCCTGAAGTTGAAACTCAAGTACTTTGGCCACCTAATGAGAAGGAAGGATTCACTGGAGAAGAGCCTAATGCTGGGAAAGATTGAGGGCAATAGAAGAAGGGGACGACAGAGAATGAGATGGCTGGATGGAGTCACTGAAGCAGTAGGTGTGAATTTAAATGGACTCCAGAAGATGGTAGAGGACAGGAAGACCTGGAGGAACATTGTCCATGGGGTCGCGACGGGTCGGACACGACTTCGCAATTAACAACAAGTCATAAAAGAGCCAAGGTTGACTACCCCTGATCTATACAGTGACTTATTATGCATTGTGCTTTCAAACTGGGATGAAGAATGTGACGATAAGCCTCCCTACCAAAGTCCCCAGTATATCCGTTTGTCATTCACTGAAAGGCATGGAAGAAGCCGTGCAAATGCTTCAGATTTCCTTGCTTATCAAGAAAGGTGGGTGGGGGGTTTCCAAAGGAAGAAAGGAAGGTTAGGTAGGGGAGGGTAACAGGGCTTGGGCCCAACCCAGGGATGTTCTTATGCCATCTACAGTGATACTTGGGAGATGGTCTGACACATGCAGTCAAATAAAAAAATCATATGCTAAGGTGGGTGCACACAATCATGAGGCTTGCCAGTCCATGCTTTCCCATCACAATTAAAAAAATCAGACTTCTGAATGGGTACAAAGCACCTTTACCTCATTCCTGACTATTTGGAAACATGATTGGCCTGGAAGGAAGATCTTCCAGGAAACAGATACACTTGAGGTTCTGCACTTCTGGTCTTGGAAATGATGTAACTGACTCAAAATCTACTGAGGACCCTAAATTAAATGTGGTCTAATACCAAGTAGAGTAGCAGGCAAGCCCAGGAAAACTCAGGCTGCAACAAGCAGCATTTATAAATGGCAACTTGCCCTTGACAGCAGCCATTTTGTAATCTGGCATTGAGGACTTTTTCACGAGACTCCTCTGGCCAAATGAGGTTGCAGATAAATTCATGTCCTTTTATCTCAAAATAGCTGAATTAATTACTGCTAGCCCATCTTGGCTGATCTGAAAGAGCTAAGCAGGCTTGGACCTGGTGAGCCCTAGATGGAAGATGACCAGACAATCCCAGGACTGTAACCTAGACTGGAAAGTCCTAAAAACATCCTGTAAAGAGACAATAGTAAACCAATTTCATATATTCTTGCCAAGAAAACTACACGGATGTGTCCAAGCTCAATCTTTTTATGGTTGTGGGCTCCACATGGTAGGTTGGCTGGAGAAGAAGGCTGCAAATACATATACAGTATTATCCAGTGCTGATTCTCCATTCACACACAGATATACACACAATCATATTCTGCAGCAGAAATAAGGTCATTTTTTTTTTACCACAAACCAATTCAGAGTGACTCTAACTTCCCATGTCTGTTTTCAATTAACCATCGTTTATCAACTTGCCTAGAGGCACTAGTTAATCTTAATTGCATTTTATTCAAACCAGCCAGTTGGATTCAGAATCCATGATTTGAAACTGAGTGGCTAGAATAAAACATAGTTAAGTGAACTTTGTACAGATTCAGATATAAAATGAATGTTTATCAGCTTAAGTTATTATATCCTGTTTCTCAGGGCTATTCTGGAATGAAAAATAATTACAGCGTGCAAAATCATGTGGGCCTAAGGTTTATTCTTGGAGCCTATCAAACTTTAATCCAACTTCCCAATTCATTGGATTCAGCTCCCATAATGCTCAGCCAGCATGGGTCAAAAAGAAAAGGCTACTTTATCTTTCCATTGATGGCTGTCATCTTACCTCTTATATTTGCCCACTAATAGTTTTAGAAACAAAGGGAGTAATCTTGCAAGAGCATCCAGACAACCCAGCTTTGCATAAAATGAACAGTGCCAGCAGCGGATGTAACTTTCATAATTGTTTTGGCTTAATTATTGTACAAGGTTTTTAAAAAATGTACTTATTTGTTATTCCCCATTTCCTATCATTCTGAAATGGCTTATATAAACTGTTTTTATAAAACAATTAGTTCAGAACCTTTAAAAAAAAACCCAACCCAACAGAATTAAAATAGCAGGAAGCTTTTAAAACCTTACAATAAAAACAACATTATTTCCCCCTAAAATCCAGTTTATGTCTCAGTCTCTGTAAGAATGGGCAGTATAGTATATCTCTTGTCTCTGGATAATAATCCATGGAACTAATAAAGCAGACCATTGTCCGTAAAAATTAGACTATTTCAAATTTGCTATTTTTAAAGTGCCAGAAGAATATTTGTGGGTTTTACCTAAATCATTCGTTCCCCTTAAAAGTGGAAGATTTGAACTACAGGGGCTCATAGTAATGACCCTTTTAAAAAATGTATTCATACATTTATATCCCCCCACATACACTTCAGGACAGCTCACAGAACAAAGAGTGATGTTTTATTGTCACAATCCTATGATGCAGATTGCAGTAAGAAATGGTGACTGAGTGAAGACTATAATTGTCTCCTTGGTCCCAGTCCACCATTTGTAGCTATATGACACCCATTTTGCCCACACTAGGGCCTCTTTTTATTAATGCTTAAAGTATCAACATGAATTCAAACTATAACACGTGGGTGGGTTGGTGAATCCAGGTCCCCTTAATGGTCTTTCTGATCAAGATATCTTCATTGCGAGAGAATTCCCAAAACCAGGCTGGGGATAAAAGCTTTATAAGCCACAGAGCCAGGAGCAGCTCAGTTGTGAATTCCAGATGACACACTCATTATATATAACTTCATTTTGGGTTTTTTTTCCAGCTGGGAGAAGACAAACCAAGAATCATGGAATAATCGAGGGCCCAGTGACCAGTACAAGGTAGGTAGGTGCAGGTCTACAATGAGCACCCCAGCATAAAACTAGTAGTCCGATAATTAATCCTGGAAAAACCTTGGCAGATATGGAAAGGAAGGGTTGGGAGTTAAGTGTGTGAGGATTTAAGGTAGTGTTTTTCAACCCCGGCAGATTAAAGATGTGTGAACGTCAACTTCAAGTTGCCAGTGTTGAGACACACTGATTTAGGGAGTGCATTTTAAGGGAAAATATTCATTGCCTCACACCAGAGTAACCTGTCAAGGTGCAGAAAAGGATTTGTTGTTCATGAATAATACCTTCTTCCCTAGTTATTTGCCATGACTATGGACTCCAAAGACCCGAAGAAGGATCGTCCAGACTGCTGAAACTGTTCACGTTGAGTCAGTTCCCTATTCCTGCCATGTTGAAGGAAAGTTACTGGACTTGTCATTGGCACAGCCACATCTTCTGCCCTCTTGTCAGGCAGAACATGTCAGCCTTCCAAGCGTTCTCGATTAAGCTTCTGCCTAAGCCAAGATAACTTTGCAGCTGTTCTTCCCTGCCTCTGCAGTTTGCTGGTGTCAACCGCAAAGATCACCAATCAACATCTGCAGCTCATCCACCAGAATCAAAAGTGCACAGTGACCCATTCTACCTCTGGGAAATGCCCCTAAATATTGAGCTGACAAACAACTTGTTTATTTAAAAAAAAAAAAAAAACAGGAGGGCAGGAGGGGGGAAGAGAGGGAGAGACAATGTGACACAAAGCACATTCTTTGTGATCCCATTTGTGCAAACTTCTTGGTTCAGTATTTTTCCTTCCCTTCCTACAAATATTCTTGACCTTGATGTGTGGTGTTTCCTGCCTCCCACGCTCAGTTTTACCATTCCCACAGAGACAGGACAGTCCCAGCACCTAGATCAGTGATGGCGAACCTTTTGAGTATGGTGTGTCCAAAATTTGAAAAATGCCTAATTTGACTCACTATCCCCCCCCCAGATAAAAGAAAAGCAATGCTTTACATATTCATTTGTTTAAAAACATACAGTCGAATCATGTGTGTGGTTCCCAGGATCTGCTGCACACTACTTACCCTCAGGTTGTGTTCTCTTTCTATTGACAGGCCTCGGCGGCAGTTCCGGGTTGCATAAGGCCTTCATTCTCGAAGTGGCTTAGGAGAAGGCTTTTCCATGGCCTCTGCAGCCTCCAAAAAACACACAAAAGCATACCTCATTTTTGTATGATTTTCAGAGGTTCTGGAGGCTGCAGAAGTCCACAGTCCTTTCAAGTGACTTCTGGAGGGTCCAGAGGCCTCCAAAACATGTGCAAGAATAGGATGTGTTTTAAGAATATAGCCAGGTGTTGGTGAATGTTGGCATGTCACCCAAAACATGGTGTGTCACTCTTGACATGTGTGTCATAGGTTCACCATCATTGACCTAGATATTGGAACTAATAATGTTGGTTGAATTCTTGGAGAGGACACTGCCCATCACCAATTCTGAAAGGAGTCCCAGGTGATCCAGTTTAGTCTGCAAATGTATCACATTTTCACAGAACTTATCTGGGCCTCATTAGGAGTTCAACATAAATTTGTATGAGATGGGTTTGAATATTAGTAGCTCGGGTTGGTAGTTGGGCTGCTGGTTTGATCTCCGAGCTTGGCAACTTGGCTGCAAAGGTTTTGTCTCCATTCAGGGGGACACCTTCAGTGCACTTTGAATTGTGCTCATCTGTCAGAGCACTGGCCCTTTAAATACCTTTTGTATCCTCTGTCATGAGAAGTATTGCATAGGCATCCACATTACTCGTGCACTTCTATATTTTTTGCATACTGCTAAACTGTCTCAAAAAGAGTTGAAAGTGGTTTGAGACAGGTATTGCATCTGTTAACAGACATAACACCAGCTAGTTCTCTTTTGTCTCACGCTCTTGCCTCACAGGCTCTCTGGGAAGAACATGAGAAAACCTGCAAGACCATTTTCTCAGAAGCAACATGAGGTGTGGATATGCAGACCGTAACAACCCAGAGACACTGGGAGTCATAATAATTGCATGATTCTCTTTCAAACCAATCTTCACCTTTGGGTAAATTGTATCTTGCAATAGTGGCGAATCTCTGTAGCTCGGGTGTAGGATGAAGGTGAAGATTTGTCCTCCCAGCTCATGGGTTGGTTTCTGAACGTTTCGTTACCAGGCTAGGTAATCTCTTCAGCAGAGTTTAGGGCAGCGGTTCTCAACCTGTGGGTCAGGACCCCATTTGGGGTCGAACGACCATTTCACGGGGGTCGCCAAACAACGCAGTCCGCCATTTTTTTCCCCTTTTCCTTAGCTGTGCTACTCCCTTTTATTCTATTGGCTTTTGAAAGCCAATAGAATAGACTCTCTTGAATAGAGTCTAATTCTATTGGCTTTCAAAAATCAATAGGAATTGTCCAGGCTGTCTCTGCCCTGCTAAGCCCGCCAAAAGTCCCATTCTGCAAACGGTGCTGCAAGTTGTCTGCAGCGAAGGCGAGCTGTCTGGAATTTTCCACCCTTCCTGCTGAGGTAAAAGAGAACCAGGGGTGGGAGGTGGGAGGTGGTGGGCGCAGGGAGAGTTGCTGGCGTGTGTGGGGCCCGGCGGGTGCCTTACCTCCCTTGGGCTGGGTCAGCTGTTGGCCCAGCCGGTGATTGCCCTGCGCCATCGCTGCCCCTTGCCAGCTACGCCTCGGCCGGCGCAAGGGGCGGCACCACGCATGCGCGGTGCTCCCAGGCAGGGAAAGTCCTCGACTTACAACCGGTTGGGTAGTCCTCAACTTACGACCAGTTAGGTAGTCCTCGATTTATGACCAGTTGGGGTCGCGGCATTAAAAAGATTGAGGACCACTGGTTTAGGGGATGTCAGGGTCAGTGTTCTTCTGTTTATAAGGGCTTCAGATGTGGGTGTGTCAGGTAAGGGTCTTGTGATGGGTCAGGAGTGAGTCATCAGTGAGAGGCTTGTGATGGGTCTTGTGATGGGGCGGTTACCTCAGGTCAGGACCATTGGAAGGTGAACTGCTGGAGGGGAGGAGAGAGGGCTTGTGTGGGTTGGTTGAGAATCGGTGCTGTCTCTGTTTAGCTGTGCGGCTGATTTGGATTCTGAGGGGTTTATCAGCTAGCTGCAGGTCGATGTGTCTGTTGATGGAATGCTTGTGGGTGCCAAAATTGTGTCTTCCCTATGTGGGTTCTTTGGCTCCAATCACAAAACATAAATACAGACAAGAGACAGACCAACAAACAGGCTACAAGTAGTCCTTATCTTACAACATTCGAAGTTATAATCATGGCACTGAAAAAAAAGAGACCTACAACCAATCCTCACCCTTACAATCACTGCAGCATCCCCACAGTCATATTTATGAAATCCGGGTACTTGGCAACTGGTATGTATTTACAACAGCTGCAGCAGCTCAGAGTCATGTGATCATCTTTTGTCACCTTCCCAGTTAGCTTTCAACAAGCACAAAGTCAATGGAGGGAGCTGGATTCGCTTAACGATCACATGGTTCTCTTAATTTGCTTAACAATGGTGTCAAAAAGGATGTAAAATCGGGCACGACACATCTTGTTTAACAACAGGAATTTTGGTCCCACTTGTGCTCATAACTCTAGGACTATCTGTACAGTGCAGATCCCAAACGCTACTCAAAATTTAGCCCCAAGGCACCGCCTTCTCCCCCACTCACTTCCTGCTCCTCCTCTTCCTTTTCTCTGGGTACTGCAGGAGTAGGGAACATAATAATAATAATAAAATTGAAAGGGAAGGTCATCAATTCCAACCCCCTACTCAGGCAGGAAACCCTATACCATTTCAGACAAATGGCTGTCTGGTCTCTTCTTAAAAACTTCCAGTGTTGGAGCCTTCACCACTTCTAGAGGCAGGTTGTTCCACTTGTTAATTGTCCTAACTGTCAGGAAGTTTCTCCTTAGTTCTAAGTTGCTTCTCTCTTTGGTTAGTTTCCATCTATTGCTTCTTGTCCTGCCTTCAGGCGCTTTGGAAGATAGCTTGACTCCCTCTTCTTTATGGCAGCCCCTGAGATATTGGAACACTGCTATCATGTCACCCCCGCATCCTTCTCTTTGTTAAACTAGACATACCCAATTCCAGCAACCGTTCCTTATATGTTTTAGCCTCCAGTCCCCTAATCATCTTTGTGGCTCTTCTCTGTACTCTTTCTAGAATCTCAACATCTTTTTTACATTATGATGACCAAAACTGGATGCAGTATTCCAAGTGTGGCCTTACCAAGGCATTGTAAAGTGGTATTAACACTGCATGTGATCTTGATTCTATCCCTCTGTTAATGCAGCCTAACACTGTGTTGGCTTTTTTGGCAGCTGCAGCACACCACTGGCGCATATGGTCACTTACTCCTCTACCAGATGTGTTTTGTTGCTACAGTAGGGAGAGATTCCCCATTTTCATTCCTATTTGGGAGGGAAACTCTACACTTTCTTCACCCCACAGTTTTCTGATGGAAATTATCAGCTTTGAAAGAATTATCAGAATAATTCTTTCTAAAGCTGTTCTTTGTCTACTGGGTGTCAGAAACATAGGCACAAAGCCTTCCCCACCCTCATGTGCAAAAACCAACCACAGATATGAGAAAGGGTAACTTGGATTAGAAAATAATACAGTGTGAAAACATTGTCAGAAACCTATCTCTAGAGCTGCTGTTTCAGTCCCAACAGGATTTCCTCCTTGTTGCAGTTCTTTTAAAATAGAAATAAAAATAAATAATTAGCACCAAGGAACTCCATCCCTAACTCTCTCTATTATTTTACTTAAGATTCTAAGCTCTCTGGATTCTTTAGCTTCCTCCACTTCAAGATCTAGGATCATAAGCAGAACTCAGTGACCCCAAAGCCAATCTTTCAGAGACTCTCCAAAATTTCAACTTTAATCTTTAGTTAAAGCTCCAGCAACTTTAATCTTTAGTTAAAGCACCAGCATCCACACTGGGGCTTGCAGATGTAGCTTGCAATTTGGGGGAACAGCAGCAGTAGTAATAGTACTAGGTGCTATTTGGGGGCACAATAGTGCCAGCATGTTGCATCAGCAGGAAAGCTATCAGATCTGGCCTGCGAAAATCTGGACAGCAGCAAAGAGTGTTCAGTCTCACTCTTAGCTATGACTAAGAGTGGTCTTTTTGGTCTGAAAGAAAGAAGATGGGATGGATAATACCACCCCTCTGACATGTTGCAGGGAGAGTTTGCCCCACTTATCCACAACCTTCTTCACCTGTGGCTCCACTCCTATCTGTTGGAACACTCTAGGCCAGTTCCTTAATTCCTTTAAAGTATGCTTTTTTTTTTTAAAGACAGAAGGGCTGGCTGGAAGCCTCTGCCTATGTGGCCCGTGGTGGCTATCATTTGTTCCTTCACTGTCTTTAGGCCATAGTCAAGATGCATTCAGACTTTCTGCAAGCTAGACGTAGTCAAAAAAGAGATGACAAGAATGAACATTGACATCTTAGGAATCAGCGAACTAAAATGGACAGGAATGGGTGAATTTAACTCAGATGACCATCAGGTATACTACTGTGGGCAAGAATCCCTCAGAAGAAATGGAGTAGCCTTCATAGTCAATAAAAGAATAGGAAAAGCAATACTGGGATACAATCCCCAAAATGACAGAATGATCTCAATTCGAATCCAAGGCAAACCATTCAATATCACAGTAGTCCAAATCTATGCCCCAACCACTGGTGCTGAAGAGGATGAAATTGACCGGTTCTATGAAGCCCTACAGCACCTTATAGAATTAACACCAAAAAATGATGTCCTTATCATCATGGGGGATTGGAATGCTAAGGTAGGAAGCCAAAAGATAACCGGAATAACAGGCAAGTTTGGCCTTGGAGAACAAAATGAAGCAGGGCACAGGCTAATAGAATTTTGTCAAGAGAATACGATGGTCATAACAAACACTCTTTTCCAACAACCCAAGAGACGGCTCTACACATGGACATCACCAGACGGTCAACATAGAAATCAGATTGACTATGTACTCTGCAGCCAAAGATGGAGAAGCTCTATACAGTCAGTAAAAACAAGACCAGGAGCTGACTGTGGCTCAGATCATGAGCTTCTCGTTGCAAAATTTAGGCTTAAATTGAAAAAAGTAGGGAAAAGCACTAGGCCACTCAGGTATGAACTAAATCATATTCCTGATGAATATACAGTAGAGGTGACAAATAGATTTAAGGAACTAGATCTGATAGACAGAGTGCCTGAAGAACTATGGATGGAAGTTCGCAACATTGTACAAGAGGTGGCAACTAAAACCGTCCCAAAGAAAAAGAAATGCAAGAAACCAAAATGGCTGTCTCAGGAAGCTTTGCAAATAGCTGAGGAAAGAAGGGAAGCGAAAGGCAAAGGAGAAAGAGAAAGATACACCCAATTGAATGCAGAATTCCAGAGAATAGCTAGAAGAGATAAGAATGCCTTCTTAAATGAACAGTGCAAAGAAATAGAAGAAAACAACAGAATAGGGAGGACCAGAGATCTCTTCAAGAAAATTGGAGATATGAAGGGAACGTTTCATGCAAAGATGGGCATGATAAAGGACCAAAATGGCAGAGACCTAACAGAGGCAGAAGAGATTAAGAAGAGATGGCAAAACTACACAGAAGAACTATACAAGAATGAGCTTAACATCCCAGATAACCACAATGAGATGGTCATTGACCTCGAACCAGACATCCTAGAATGTGAAGTGAAATGGGCCTTAGAAAATCTGAGCAACAACAAAGCTAGTGGAGGTGACAGTATTCCAGCTGAGCTATTCAAAATCTTAAAAGACGATGCAGTAAAAGTGCTACACTCAATTTGCCAGCAAATTTGGAAAACTCAACAGTGGCCACAGGATTGGAAAAGGTCAGTTTACATTCCAATTCCAAAGAAAGGCAATGCCAAAGAATGTTCAAACTATCGCACCATTGCACTCATTTCACATGCTAGTAAAGTTATGCTTAAAATCCTACAAGCTAGACTCCAGCAGTATGTGGATCGAGAACTACCAGAAGTACAGGCAGGATTTCGAAGAGGCAGAGGAACTAGAGATCAAATTGCCAACATACGCTGGATCATGGAGAAAGCTAGGGAGTTCCAGAAAAACATCTACTTCTGCTTCATTGACTATGCAAAAGCCTTTGATTGTGTGGATCACAACAAATTGTGGCAAGTTCTTAAAGAGATGGGAGTACCAGACCATCTCATTTGTCTCTTGAGAAACCTATATGCGGGTCA